GTATATTATATATAGTGCGTATATTATATATAGTGCGTATATTATATATAGTGCGTATATTATATATAGTGCGTATATTATATATAGTGTGTATATTATATATAGTGTGTATATTATATATATTGTTGTTGCTGTTAAGAGTCATTGAATCCATTCTGACTGATAACAACCCTGTTTTTCTAAGGTGTGGCTGTTGGGTTTGAACTTCCAACTTTGTGGTTAGCAGTTTAATGCATATGCAACAGCACCACAGGTGTGTCTATGTGTGTGCATAAAATCCAAACCAAACCCCTTGCCGTCCGTCGACTGTGGCTCGTGGGACAGGAGATTGGCACGACATCTGCAACAGTGGGCTCAGACACAGGAAGTACTGTGGCTGTGGTACAGGGCTAGGCAGCGTTATTGATTCTGGGTTTAGGGCTCAGGTAGGTGAAAGATAGTAAGATGAAGATTAGAAAGAAACAGAGTTTGGTCAGACTGTGGTGTAAACACACATGTAATACGATTTAGCTGTAAAAGGAGATAAGTTCTAACATGCTACAACATGAATGAACCTTGAAAAGATGCTAAGTGAAATAAGAGGAACACAAAAGGACCGATAATGCATAATTCCACTTCTATGAGCTATCTAGAAAAGACAGAGTCATAGAGACAGAGAGTAGATTAGAGGTTACCAGGGTCTTCAGGTGGGGAATACAGAGCCACTGCCTAAGGGATACTGAGTTTTTGTTGGAGTGATGAAAAGTTTTAGAAACAGATGATGGAGAAGATTGCACACTGTTATGAATGTAATTAATGCCATTCAATTATACACTCAAAATGGCTAAAATTTAAAATTTCATCTTCCATCTATTTTACTACAATGAAAATGAACACAGTTTAGAAAGGACAGGCTAGTCCTCTTTGTCAATATAATCAAAGCCTTAAAAATACTACCAATTACTGACAAGTCAGCTTGGACATATGGCGACCCTTTCTTTGTGTATCAGAGTAGCACTGTGCACTGTGCACGGTGGGGTTTTCAGCCACTGCTTTTTCATATGTAGATCACCAGGCCATTCTTCCAAGGCAGCTCTAGGTGGATTTGAACGTCCAACCTCTCAAATAGTAGCTAAGCCCATTAATCAGTTGCACCCTTCAAGAGTGCTCTAAAATACTACGTGTCTGTAAACTGAAAGGGGGCACTATGGATGCGAGTGGATTTTGTGGGCTACACCTCTCTGCCTTTGGACAAGTGGTGGCCACCCAAGTTGTGTGACAAGGAAGGTGAGGTTTCAACAGCTGTCACTGAACTTGAAAAGGATTGACTAATATGACAAAGTCTTTTCACAGAGAACAGAAATCAACGAAGATGACTGACAGCGAAGTAAACATTTTTGAACTAGAGTAATTAGGAATATATTAGCAATTAAAATAAACTTATTATCATTAGCAAAATTGGCAGCTACTTACAATTTCTCCAGGGACTTCATTTCAATGTTATCTCAGTAGTTGATACTTAGGGTGGTTGAGTGTTTTCAGAGACATAGTTTGCATTTTGGGGACCTCATTTACTATATCCCCATCCATAGTTCAGAAAGCTCTGTCTCAAGTGATTATGGGTGGGTCCTAAGTTTTTCAGCAGCTGGATCCACATATTCTGACACTAAAATCGAACAGGCTTGCTGTCTACCCAATATTCAGAGAAAATTCAAATGAATAGATAAACATTTTAGAGTTTTTATTTATTTCCTTTTTTTTTTTTCCAGACCTTCAGTGCCTGGTTGTGTACTAGCAACTGCCAGAAAAGGAAAAAACTCCTGAGCTCGAAGCAGATGACAAATCAAAGGGAAATGTGGAAACCCCCCTTCCAGATCAGTAGCATCTGCCTTCAGTGGGAACGTGGGATGATGGGTAAGGCTTTGCACAGATACAAGGACAAGACTGAACGCCACATATGCGTCAGCCTTTGGCTGCTGCTCTTTTCTCCCCTGATGGAGAAGACATCTTTTAGCATTGTTGTTGTTAAGTGCAGTCAAGTTGATTCCTACTCACAGTGGCCCTGTATGGAGTTTCCAAGAAGCAGCTGATGCGTTTGAACAGCTGACCTTGTGGCAGTTCAATGCTGATCCTACAGCGCCACACCAAAAGTCTCTTTTAACGTGGTGGTTGTTGGTGGTAATGTGCTATGGGCATCCAATTTGGATCCTCATCTAAAAAATGGGGATAATTATTGTTGTTGTTGTCAAGTGCTGTCGAGTTGGTTCTGACCCATAGTGACCCTGTATAGGGTTTCTGAGGAGTGGCGGGTGAGCTTGAACCACTGACCTTGTGGTTCAAATTGACCTTGCGGTCCAGTGCATTATACTGCAGTGCCACACCAGGATAATTGTTGTTGCTAAGTGCCATCAAGTTGGTTCTGACCCATAGCAACCCTGTATAGGGTCTCTGGGGAGCTACTGGTGGATTTGAACCACTGACCTTGTGGTTCAAACTGACCTTGCGGTCCAAGATAATAATTGCTGTTGTTGTTGTTAAGTGTCATTGAGTCGTATAGGGTTTCCAAGGAGCAGTTGCTGAACTTGAACTGCCAACCTTGCAGTTGAAACCGACCTTACAGTCCAGTGCATTGACCCGCAGTGCCGTTCCTGGACTCCAAGGCAATAATAGTATTCACTAATGCTGTCACCCTCTATGGGGGAGGTTATTGGCTATTTTTTCAAAATATAAATAGTTGACCTTTAATGAGTGCTTCTTACATGTCAAATACTCTTCCAAGGGCTTTCCATGTATAATCTCAATTACTCTTCACAATGCCAACATACGAAAACCAAAACCAAGTCCATTGTCCTCGTGCTGGTTCAGATTGCTAACCACCTCTGATACCAAGTAGGACTGGTTCTTAGCTTTTCTGAGACTGTAACTCTTACTGGAACAGACCACCTCGTCTTTCTTCTATGGAGTATCGGGTAGCTTTGAACTGCTGACCTTTTGGTTAGCACTCCAACTGGGCCACTGGACATCTTTTAGCATATGGTCGTACCCACCCTCTGCCATTGAGTCTATTCTGACCCATAGTGACCCTATGTAAGTTCTATGAGGTTGTAAATTTTTGTGGGAGCAGAACGCATCATCTTTCTTAGAATATGGAAGGCACTCAATAAATAATTGCTGATGGAAGGGAGGAAGGAAAAAAGAAGGGGGAGGAAGAAGGGAGGAAGGAAAGAAGGAAAAATGGAGACTGTGGAGGTGCTGGCAATAAACTTGGAAGCTTGATTTACTGTCTTAAAGTTGCAGTGAAGAAAGTATTCTCAAGGAAAATGATTACACAGAACAGTGGGGTAGCCACCACAATATTGGTTACACATCATGAAAATGTAACAATGAAAATAACAAGGATTAAGCAACTTTCTAGGTCAATGTCCCTGGGATTTATCCAACACCATGTAGGAGGGTAGTTTTGCAAAACTACCCTCCTACATGGTGTTGGATAAATTTCTGAAGACCCACATCAAAATTCACTTCTATTTACATAGACAAAATACTGCCACAGTTGTTCAGGAAGCACCACCCAGCTTGAGTCTATTTTGAATAATGATTTGCATAAAGAGATACAGACCTGGGCTCTCTAAATGATGACAAGTGAAATGAGTTTTACTCTCCTGGGAGTTGTCACATTGTGATGCATGTTCTAATTTTCCTGCCTGTCAATGGGGTGTGATAAACACAGAACATGGTACACCTGTCCTTCATCCATCCAGGTCCCCTGTGTCTGAGATGCACAGTGGTTGTGGTGTGGGGTTAAAGAAGGGCACTGCGTAATCGACTCATGGCAAACGATGATTTCCCTGACTTCACATCCCAGGTTCTTCCCTGTTTCAATCAAGTGGAGTTCCAATCTGCCAAGATCTCGCCTCTGGTCTACACTGTTTAAAGAAAGTCCCAAGGCAAGGAACTGCCTGAGGAACTGCCCGGAAGCCAGAAGAAAAGGACAACCTTGCTGAGCAGCCCCATAAAGCCAAACAAACCAAACAGATTTTGTCCTGTTGATTCTTACTCCCAGTGACCTCATTATAAGGTTCTCCGCAGTCCTAGTGTGTGGCTGGAGCATTAGCACTAGACTGCTAACTGCAAGATTGGCAATTAAAACCCACTAGCCACTCCTCCAAAATCCTTTTCAATGCTGTTGAACCCACAACACTCAACAATGACAACAACAGGTTTTCTTGGCTGCAGTCTTAAAGGAAACACACTGACACATCTTTATTCTGTTGCTCCACTGGGTGAGGCTGAACCAGTAACCTTCAAGCTAGAAGTTGAACTCAGTTTCCACCACAACCTTAAAATGTGGGCATCCCTGTGATGATTCTCCTTAAGTCAGAATATGTGGTTCTTATATCCAAGATGACCAAGGTCTTAGAGAGACTAACTGACTTATTCATTCAATCAATATTGTTGGGCACCTATGTTGTTGTTGTTTGGTGCCATAGAGTTGGAACTGACTCATAGCGACCCCATGCACAGCAGAATGAAACAATGTCCGATCTTGGACCAACCTTACTACCGCTGCCACGCTTGTGTCCATCAATGCTGCCACCTGGCCAATCCATCTCGTTGGGAGTCTTCCTCTTTTTCTCTGACCCTCCATCTTACCAAGCATGGTATCTTTCTCCAATGACTTCCCTCCTGACAATATGTCCAAAGCATGAGAGACAAAATTTGGCCATATTGGCCTCTAAGGAGCACTCCGGCTGCAATTCTTCCAAACAGATCTATTGGTTCTTTTGGCAGCCCATGGCACTTTCAGTATTCTCCTCCAACACCACAACTCAAAGGCATCAATTCTTCTATGATCTTCCTTATTAACTGTCCAGCTTTTGCATGCATATGAGGTTATTGAAAATACCATGGCTTGGGTCAGGCGCACCTTAGTCCTCAAGGTGACATCTTTGCTCTTCAACACTTTATAAAATTCCTGTGCAGCAGATTTGCCTAATGCAATACATCGTCTGATCTCTTGACTGCTGGTTCCGTGAGTGTTGATAGTTGATCCAAGAAGAATGAAGTCCTTGACAACTTCAATCCTTTCTCCAATGATAAGAATGTTGTTTATTGGTCCAGTGGTGAGGATTTTTGTTTTCTTGACATTGAGATGCAATCCATATTGAAAGCTGTGTTGTTGTTAGGTGCCATCAAGTCAGTTCTGACGCACAGCAACCCTATGAACAACAAAACGAAACCCTGACTGGTCCTGTGCCATCCTCACAATTGTTGTTACGTTTCAGTCCATTGTTGCTGTGACTTTGTCAATCCATCTCATTGGGGGATGGGGTTCTTCTTTTCATTGACCATCTACTTTGCCAAGCATGACATCCTTTTCTACCTATGAGTGTCAAGAATTATGCTATTCTAAAAGCTAGGATTCAAAGATGAAAATACCTCCCTCAAATAGCTCTCACTCTAGAATAGGAGGAAATTGAGATAGGTTTAGGCACAGAATTCTGGCTCCACCACTTCCTATAAAACACTGTCACTAGGCCTTAGTTTATTTATCTTTAGTATGTATGTGATAAATGACTTGTCTCCAAGGGTTGCGCTCCATTTGATAAGCACTGGACGGTGAACCAAATGCTCGGCAGTTCGAGTCCACCAGACACTACATAGGAGAAAGATGAGACTTTCTGAAGCTGTAAAGATTTTAAAAGCCTCAGAAATGCGTTGGTATCCACTCCATTGCACTAACAACAATAAGGGTTGCTGTGAGACTTCAGACTCTAAGAGCAGTTGGTCAATGTTGAGCATACCATATTTAAAAGCAGTTTAGAAATTTTTATGCCAAAACCTCCTTTGCTTGTTCAATTATGAATGAATGGATCTGCAGGAAAGATGGAAGCTTCTTTGACAACTATTGTTCAAGAGTAAGCTGGTCTCTGGACCAGGATAGAAACTCACACCTGGGCTGCAATAGCTTTTGAGAATTTTCTGGAGTACAGAGCTCCAGGCCTCATTCTGTTTCTTCTGATTCAAAGGCTGCGGGGACCTTTCACACTGGGCCTGACCCCCGGACTCCTCCCTCTGTTACTTTAAAAGCTAACTGGGATACTCCCTAGCCACGATTAGAAGTGCCTAAGTCAAGCAAGTCCACGCAAAGGAATATTTGCTAACCTAAGGTCAGTCCTGGTGTGGCTGTGTGGGTTAATGTGTCAGACTGTAAAGTCGTTTGAACTGCAAGTTCTGAGGTTCAAGCTCACCAACGGCTCCTTGGAGACCCTATACAGGGTCGCTATGGGTTGGAATCCACTGGATGGCACTTAACAACAACAAGGTCACACTGCTAGTAAATGGAGTGGTGGCTATATCCGTAAGGGCGATCAAACCAAGAGGCACTTCGAAGGGACAGATCCCATCTGGTGGTAAAAGCGTCCTAGAAGACGATCTGGCTAATTGCTTGAAGGAAAAGGAAGTAGCTTATGGAAGGTTTTGGGTGGAGGCAGAGGGAGAGGAATAGGTTCAGTATGGAGAGCCCCTGAACTACAGTTTTGTCTCCTTTCTCCTCGCAGAACTCAGCATTTTCGGCGAGCTTTGGTCCCGCGCGGCCGCCGTAGAGTCACCGTTGCCATGGTTCCCAGGTTACTGCGTGGACGCGCTGAGACGTGACTGCGAAGGAACAAGGAGTCTTTGGTTCCGAGTCGGGTTTCAGGGCCTCGCACAGCGGAAAGGCACCATGGGCCGTAGTAAGCACCTACCTTCTGTCCTCCTTCTGGCTCTGATCTGCGCCGCCCGCCCTAGAGTGCCCTTGGATGCCCGCGGACCCCCGCGCTCCGCCCAGAAAAGGGCCACTGGTGCCAGACAGGCCAGTGCCAAGCGGCCCACCGTGACCTTTTCTATGTTCAGGTTCCTCATCTGTAAAATGGGGACAAAAAAGGCGTCGGGTTGGATGAACGGGGCACAGTGGGAGGCGCGGGCTGTTGGCTTCAGATACTTGGGGCTGGGGCCTCCTGTCTCCCCTTTACCACCAGCCACCCCCAAGGTTTAAATGACATTTCCTTTGCCATCTAGCTCTGTGACCTTTGAGAGACTGACTTCACTTCTTTCGGGTCTCATCTTCCTTATCGCAATGATTTGTGTTGTTGTCTCAAGTGTTGCTCAGTTGATTCCAACCCATAGCAACCCTGTACAGGGTTTCAAAGGAGTGGCTGGTGGATTTGAGCTGCCAACCTTGGAGTTAAACAGTCAAGAGCTTATCGTACAGCCCTACACCAGGACTCCAAAGCAAGGAGTAGTTTTGTTTTAAAAACAGTAAATATAATGAGCCCCGTGTTGTTAAGTGCCATTTAGTTGGTTCCAACCCAATAACGACCCTGTGTAAGGTTTCCGAGGTGAGTTTGAACCACCGACCTTGTGGTTCAAATGGACCTTGCAGTCCGGCAGCGCATTAGCCGGCTGCACTTTCTCTCTCTCTCTCTCTCTCTTTCTTAAACTTTTTATTGAGCATTGAGTGAGGATGTGCAGATAAGATCATCAGTTTTACATTCAACAAATCCATACCCGGTTTCATCTCAAGGACTACATACAATTTCCTCCATGCAACACCAGCTATCCTGCCATCCTCCCTGTGATTCCTATTTCCATTCCACCCACCTTCCCAGAACTCTTCTCAACTTGGTCCTTATGAAAATGTTGCCCTTTTGATTTTGTATGATTGACCATTATTCCACAATGTGCCGGCGGTGTTGTCCCCCTATCTCCTGCTTGGCTGAACACTGGGGCTTAAGGGTAAGTTTCTTTCCCGGTCTGAAGGGTGGTTGAGGGCCATAGTCTCAGATTCCTCCAGGTCTTTCTAACCTGTAAGCCCAATTTTTTTGATTTGGGGTTTTTGAATTTTGAGTTCTGGTCTACATATTCTCCCAATCCATTGGTGGTGGTGGTTGTGAGCCGTGGAGTCGGTTCTGACCCATAGTGACCCTGTACAGGGTTTCCAAGGCTTAAATCTTTTCAGGAGCAGAAAGCCTCATCTTTCTCCCGCGGAACAGCTGGTAGTTTCGAACTGCTGGCCTTGCGGTTCGCAGCATGATTTGTAACCACAGGGACCCTCTAATGTGATCCCTTACAGAGCAGGGGTCCCAACTTTCGTATCTCCAAAATCAAATTGTTTTTTAAAGGCAGCGGAAGTTGCAAAGAGCCCTTGGGCAGTGCAAATCTAAGCCATGCACTGGGTGCTACTGCTGAAAGGGTGCTTTGAGATCACTAATTGATCTCCTATGTATCCATAGATGGGAGTCCTGGTGTGGCCCTGTGGGTTAATGTGATGGACTTCAGAGTCATTTGAATGGTCAGGTTGAAGGTTCAAGCTCACCAGTTGCTCCTCAGAAATGCTACACAGTGTCGCCATGGGTCAGAACTGACTCAATGGCAGTTAACAACACGACAACAGCAACATATCCACATATGGGGATCTGTTAACCAGATGGGGGAAAGTCTTGTTCAAACCTTGCTCCTGTTATACAATGGACCAGAATTGAAGCTGAGGTATATGTTGTTGTTATTAAGTGCCTTCAAGTTGTTCCTGACCCATAGAGACCCTGTACAGGGTTTCCAAGGAGCGGCTGGTGAGCTTGAACTGCCAACTTTGCAGTTCAAAGCGACTTTACAGTCCAGCATATTAACCCAGGGTGCCACACCAGGACTCCTGAGGCATATGAGGTGATTGAAAATACCATGGCTTGGGTCAGACACAGCTTAGTCCTTAAGGTACTTTTGCTTTGAACCCGATACAGAGGTCTTTTGCTACAGATTTGCACAGTGCAGTGTGTCCTTTGATTTCTTGACCGCTGCTTCCGTGAATGTTGATTGTGGATCCCAGCAAAATGAAATCTTTGACAATGTCAGTCTTTTTTCTCTTTATTATGATGTTGCTTATTGGTCCACTTGTGAAGATTTTTGTTTTCTTTCTGTTGATTTGTAATCTGCACTGAAGTCTGTAGTCTTTGATCTTTATCAGTAAGTGCTTCAAGTCCTCTTTGCTTTCTACAAGCAAGATTGTTTCATTTGCATAGGTTATTAGTAAGTTGCCTAGGTTATTAGTAAGTCTCTCCCCAGTCTTAATGCTGAGTTCTTCATATAGCCCAGATAGTCACATTATTTGCTCAGCATAAAGATTTATTCAGTATGGTGAAAGGTTACAACCCTGACATATCTTTCCTGATTTTAAACCTCTCAGTATCCCCTTGTTCTGTTTTCTAACATGAGCACAACTGAGTGTTCTGGAATTCCCATTCTTCTCGATGTTACCCATAATTTGTTATAATCCACACAGTCAAAGAAATCACAAGTAAACATCTTTCTTGTATTTTGTGTTTTCTGCCATGATCCATCTGATATCAGCAGATATCTCTTGTTCCATGTCCTATTCTGAATCCAGCTTGAATTTCTGGCAGTTTCTTGTTGATGTTCTGCTGCTACTGATTTTGAATTATCTTCAGCAAGACTTCACTTACATGTGATATTAATGATGTTATTTAATAACTTACAGATTCTGTTGTATCACCTTTCTTTGGAATATGTACAAATATAGATCTCTTTCAGTCAGTTGGCCAAATAGCTATCTTCCAAATTCCTTGATGAGGGTTGAAACATCCCAGTTGATATTCCTTCAATTCTTGGAGCCTTGTTTTTTTCTCCAATGCCTTTAGTACCATTGATTGGTGATCATATGCTGATGAATATCAGCCAGTATTTTTTTTTGGTTCAGTGACTGTGTAATCCTTCCATCTTCTTTTGATGCATCCTGCATTGTTAAATTTGTTGTCCTTAGATGCCTTCAGTATTGCAAGTCAAGGCTTGAATTTTTTCCTTTGTTTTTTTCAGTTTGAGAAATAAAGAACATGTTATTCCCTTTTGGTTGTCTAACTCCAGGTCTTTGTATATTTCATGAGAATAGTCTACTTTGTCTTCCTGAGCTGCTCCTTGAAACCTTCTGTTCAATCCGAAGAATTTACAGCCTTAGGAAGACGATGGAGTTGCTCTACTCTGCCCTATAGCAGAGTAGTAGAGTCTGTCTTTGCCCTATGGTCCAAGTGGCTCCATGGAGACAGGATTGAACGCATATACAACTTGGGAGATTTTCACAAGTTCATACCTCGGTGACAGTGGCATACAGTAAAAGTGAGAAACGCTCCCAGCCCCACATGTTTCCTTCTAGACCTCTCCCGCCCTTCCCACCGCTGCCTTCCCCAAGTAACCATAGGTCAGTATTCTGTCAGTATAGATGAGTTTGCATTTTCTAGATTTTAATACAAATGGAACCATACAGTATGTATGCTTTCCCCCTCCCCCTTTTCTCCTCCTTCTTTGTTTGGATTCTTTCTATGAAATTATCTTGAAATCATCCATGTTGGGTCTATTCTATTGTTGTTGTTGAGTGCCATCAAGTCAGTTCTGACTCAGAATGATCCTGTATAGAGTTTCTAAGGAGTAGCTGGTAGATTGGAATCACCAACCTGATCCTACAGTGCCACATCTGTCAGTATAGATGAATTGAATTTGCATTTTCTAGAATTTATTATAAATGGAACCATACACTATGTACTTTCTTTTGTTCTGGTTTGACTTCTTTCCATGAAATTATCTTGAAAGCCATCCATGTTGTGTCTATCAATAGTTTGTTTCTTTATATTGTGGAGTAGTGTGGCACTGTGGAATCCTGTTATGCTGTTGTGGGTCAATGTGCTGGGCTGCAAATCATATTGAACTGCAAGGTTGGTTCAAGGTCACCAGCTGCTAAACCCTTTACAGGGTCACTATGAGTGGAGCAGACTCAGCGGCACTTAACAACAACCAGCTCGCCATTGGATGTGGACTGCCCTGGGAAGCAGGCATGGTCTTGGGTGAGGGACATCTACCCCAGCAGCTGGGGGATTCCTCTGTCAGATTTGAAGGAGGAACTGAGCGACACGCACATCCCAGCATCCAGTCTCGCCTGGAATGCTCTTTTCTGATCTGTTTTTCTGGCAGACATCTATGCAAATTTCAAGATTCAGCTCAGGCACCCTAACATTTCCTGCCTGGAGCCTGTTTGACCCCTGTCCTCTCACTCGCCAGCACTGCACGCTCCCTCCTCTGTTGTTGTTGTTAAGTGCCGTGGAATTGGTTCCAACTCATAGCAACCCTGTACAGGGTTGCCGAGGCTATAAATCTTTAAGGGACAGAAATCCTCCTCTTTCTCCTGTGGAACAGCTGGTAGTTTTGAACTGCTGACCCTGAGGTTAACAGCCTGATTCGTAACCACTATTCTACCAGAGCTCCTTTCCCTCCTCTGTAGTCATCATGAATTTCAGCACCCATCTGTCATGGCTCCATTACATGCTGTCCGGTTTTAACAGCACTCCATGTCACTGCCTCCTAATGGTGCCATTGGATTGGAGGACAGTACAGCCCCAGGTACTCATAAAGATGACCTTGAGCCATCAAGTAAAGACAGGAAGTGCAGGTAATGCTCTTCCTAAAAGCTTCCATTGAAAACATTAAAAACATGTGAATGCTTCAAGAGATAACCCTCACCTTTCTGTAAGTCTAACTAGAGCCCTGGTGGTGCACTGGGTTAAATGTTGGGCTGTTAACTTCAAAGGCAGCAGTTCAAATCCACCAGCCATACCACGGGAGAAAAAGATGAGGCTTTCTACTCCTGTAAAGATTTACAGACTTAGAAACCCTATACAGGGTCGCTGTGAGTCAGAACTGACTAGATGACACACAACAACAACATTAAATCTCTGTTTCATACATCTATCTGCTCAGTCTGTCAAGATGTTTGAACATTTGGAAAAACCTGCTATAAACATATCTTGGGAGATTTCATTTGGTTTGAGCAAGAAAGAGGTCTGATTGGAAAACATGCTGGAAACTT